AAACTGAAAACAGTCCATGTGTACAGCAATCAAAGTGCAATTAATTATTTAGATCTAGAAAATAAATCAACAAAAAAGGTTGAAGTCGAGGTTTTAAGATCATTGCCAAAGATTAATGTTCGCAGAAACCAGTTCTGAAGTGTTTGAGTTCATGATCCTGTCAGAGCACCCACCTGTGTCCATGCTTGATAGAAGTAAATCCATCTCTGCCTCTGTCCAGCCTCCTCTGGGTGAACCTGTGAAAGTCTTGGTGACTTTCTACAACCAAGGTGAGCTGAACAAATCTGTGAAAGTTCACATGGATGTGTCCATTGCCTACTACACTGGAGTGGTTTCTCAGAGCTTCAGGACAGAGAACTTCACTCTTCAAGTACCTGGCTTCCAAAGTGAGCAGCGTGACAAACCTCTTTGTTTGTATTTTTGGGAAAAAAAATGCAATAAATGGCCATATTTGTGTGTTTTTGTCTTGCAGACAACAGCAGCACATTTCAGATCATGCCTCAGGAGTACATGCCTTACCTGGGCTCGAAGGCCGGCCTGCATATTGTCGTAACTGGACAGACTGAAGATGAAAAGGTGTCTGAGATTAAACTGGTTCCCCTGAAGCCCTCTGCAATAAACATAATGGTAAGAACAAATATATAATCAATTCAATACAATCTCACTCAATTCATAGACACCCCCACTCGCCCAAAGAAAATATCCCCTGGAAGTTCGTCTATTTTAACCAAAAAAGTTCATGCTCAATAATCCAGGTATACAATCCAACAATTTTCAGTCAGGTCATCTGGACAGTTTCTTTTTGGAGGAAGAGGGCCAGCAACAGAGGAAGGGGCGTGCCAAAGACACCATCTTAGCACCAACATAATTGGTTTGTTCCACTTTGGAGTAAGCTGTTTGGGGGAAGAATCAGTTTTGTGTTGTGTGTTTCCTTGACTGATGAAGCCTTCTGGATGGAAGGTGAAACGTTTCTGCAAAAAAAGAAACTGTCCAGATGACATGACTGAAAATTGTTGGCTCGTCTATTTTAGATCGCTTTTTAACAAGCATGCCTCATAAAATTTGTGGGTTGGGTGTTTTTGCAAATGATATGAGTGACCACTGCATTGTCGGTGTCATCAGGGCCACTAAAATGCCTCACACCAATCGTAGATTAATTCTAAAAAGGGACATGAAGCATTTGAGTGAACAGACCTTCCTTGGGGACATGTTTCATTTTGACTGGCAACCTATTGTTCTAACTGATGACGTGAACCTTGCTTGGAACTATTTTCAGAATAGTTTAATCTTCTTTGTAAATAAACATGCCCCTTTTGCTAGTTCAGAATAAATGGATGAGACAGCCCCTGGTTTATTCCTGAGTTAGCTGACCTACAGAGGAGAGATCAGTTTGGGGCAACAGCAAGACATTCTGTTTCAGACACTGATTTGTTGCATTTTAGACAGCTGCTGAATCATTGTACAGATTCCATCAAAGAGGCTAAACTAAATATGTCTTATCTCAGACCTCCAAAAATCTAAATAACCATTAAAGATTCTGGAAAACCATTAAATCACTTTCCGGCAGATCCCGTTCATCTGACCTGCCACCACAACTACTTGTTAACTCTGTTCCCGTGTCAAATAAGCACGAGATCCTGAACCGTTTCAGTAGACATTTTGTTGCTTCTAGTTCCTTGTTTGCCACAGTTACTAATGGAAAACCAGCTACTTCTCCTTTAAGCCAAACCTCTACAAACCAAATCTCTCTTACAAGTCAATCTTCAGTAAACCACACCTTTTCATTTTCACCATTTTCTGTTAGTTAGGTTAACAAATTGTTAAAAGGTCTAGACTCTAGAAAATTTGCAGGCCCTGATGACCTTCAGCCTTATTTCTTAAGGCTAGATGCACACATCAATGCAGAACTGGTGTCCCACATCTTCAATCTGTCAATAAGCCAAAACACCATTCCAAACGTTGGAAAACAGCTTTTGTTCTATCTTTACTGAAGGGAGGAGCCCCCACTATACTGAACAACTATCAACCTATCTCTAAACTCTGTATTATTGCTAATGTTTTTAAAAAATTGATAAACTCTCAAGTCAGGTGTTTAGATTATTTTAACATCTTACCTCTCCATTGATGTTTTTAATGGTGTTGTTGAAGCATTAGATGCTAAGGACTACTGTGTTGCACTTTATTTAGACCTGTAAAGCTTTTGATACTATGGACCATGGCATCTTATGTCATAAGCTCTCAGAAATTGGTTTCTCAGATCACACTATTGGTTGGTTCTCTAATTATCTCTGAGATCATAGACAATGTGTTCAACATAATGGTACTTCTTCCAGCTGTCTAACAGTCAACCATGGTGTACCACAAAATTCAGTTTTAGGACCCACCCTCTTCAAAATCTCCATAAGTAATGTAGGTCAGATTATTCTTGATGCATCCTTACATTTCTATGCAGATGTCAGTTGTTTATTGTTGAGCTAGAACAGTTGCTAAGGTATTTCAGCTCTTACAGTCTGCATTCGACATCATCCACTCTGATCTGTTCCATCTCAAACTGGTGCTAAATGCTGATAAAACCAAAAGGAAGTCAGTACCAGCAGTCCTTCCTTCTTTTTTAT